TCATTTCGTATTGTATACCGATGAATAACACATATGTACAGTCACCTCAAAAAAACTATGTATACAAAATCGTGTTGAAACAATATAACACAACGGACGAAGGATTTGGCTACCCTACTGAGACAACAGGAGTCGCAGCGTTCATTCTGAGATTCATCGATCACCCAGGTACAGGGAAATAAACTAGGGTGTCTAATCTTCAGGTATTTTTTAATTCTTCTAATAATATTTAAGAACCTTTCATATGTGGTTTTAGAATACACATAAATTACACCTGACTCACCACACCTTATCCACTCCTATACTCTGCTCACTCCAAACTTATCATTGGGTCATATCAAAGGAAGCTCGTGATTGGTCGAGTCACGTCAGGTGAGAATATGCACGAGGGGGTGGGGGGTAATATGATTGGGCGTAGCTGATCGTTTATAACTTGTCTTTTTCACTTCAAGATATCTTCGTCATCAATATGTTCCACGTGATAAATTCTACTTATATATCATCACTTAATTGTTAATATTACTTGCAATTGTAGAATATAAGGAAACAAAATTAAATAACTCAGGACTGTAGATAAAACCAACGCCTCTCATCCTGTCAGCTGCATCCATAAAATCCGCTCCAGGCGCAGTGTGCAAAGCCTGTGTGACCAGAGTACTGTACAGGCGAGATAAACAGTCTAGTTGATTCATGAAACATTCCTGCCCTTGTACACTCTCACTCTGATATACTTAATTGGGTAAGTAATATATGCAGATTTGTTCATTTTCGTGTTTGATGCACCGGGTCAGCTTCAAACACTCGCTCATTTACATTATTTTGGGGGGAAGGCGGACGAGTGGGTACAGTCGGACACATACCTCAGTGGACACGGCAAGGACACATGCTTCTCCAGGGTTGTTAGTGGACACGGCAGGATACATACTTCACCAGGGTTGCTAGTGGACACGGCAGGATACATGCCTCACGAGGGTTGCCAATGGACACGGCTGGATACATGCCTCATCAGGGTTGCCAGTGGACACGGCAGGATACATACCTCACCAGGGTTGCCAGTGGACACGGCAGGATACATACTTCACCAGGGTTGCCAGTGGACACGGCAGGATACATACCTCACCAGGGTTGTCAAGGGATAAAGCAAGACATAATTTGTTCGAGACACAGTTTTACGAATTTACTTCCCGGCGATGAGTCAATTCATGAATTATTATTATTATTATTATTATTATTATTATTATTATTAGGTCAGGAGAAGGGTGACAGGGAGATAGGCGAAGTGGAGGGTGGCAGGGGGTAGGCTAGTAGGAAGGCGGCAGGGAGGTAGGCCAGGAGGAGGATGACAGGGAAGTAGGCCAAGAGGAGGTAGGGCCAGGGGGAGGCGGCAGGGAGGAGCAGGAGGCGGCAGGAGGAGGCCAGGAGGGAGACGGCTGGGAGGAGGCGGCAGGGAGGTAGGCCAGGAGGAGGGTGGCAGGAGGTAAACCAGGAGGAAGGAGTTAAGGGGTAGGCCAAGAAGAGGGCGGTAGGGAGGAAGGAGACTCTATCGATTGTTTTGAGCGACTCAGGGGCCGTTCTGGCAATGGAAACGAGACCTATTATGGGGGAGGACACGCCGCCTCATTCATCTTCTGCCTAGGTTGTGAATGTGGTCTTAAGGGGGTGTGGGGGAGGGTTGTGTGGATGTCGGTTGTTAAGAGGGAGGCACTAGGGGCAGCAGGACCACTGGGGAGGCACCTAGCAGGACCACTAGGGGAGGCACCCAACAGGACCACTAGAGGAGGCACAGCAGGACCACTGGGGGATGCACCTAGCAGGACCACTGGAGGGAGGCACCTAACAGGACCACTGGAGGGGCCCAGCAGGACCACTGGGGAGGCACCCAGCAGGACAACTAGAGGGAGGCACCTAAGAGGACCACTAGAGGGAGGCACCCAACAGGACTACTGGGGGCACCCAGGGACCACTGGGGAGGCACCCAGCAGGACCACTGGGGGGAGGCACCCAGCTGGACCACTGGGGGAGGCACCCAGCAGGACCACTAGAGGGGAGGAGGCCCAGCAGGACCACTAGAGGGAGGCACCTAACAGGACCACTAGAGGGCACCTAACAGGACCACTAGAGGGAGGCACCTAACAGGACTACTGGGGAGGCACCCAGCAGGACCACTAGAGGGAGGCACCTAACAGGACCACTAGAGGAGGCACCTAACAGGACTACTAGAGGAGGCACCCAGCAGGACCAGTAGGGGCACCTAACAGGACCACTGAGAGGCACCTAGGACAGCCACTGGGGAGGCACCTAACAGGACCACTGGGGCACCTAACAGGACCACTAGGGGGGCACCTAACAGGAACTGGGGGCACCAGCAGGACCACTGGGGGAGGCACCTAACAGGACCACTAGAGGAGGGCACCTAACAGGACTACTGAGGGAGGCACCCAGCAGGACCATAGGGGAGGCACCTAACAGGACCACTAGAGAGGCACCCAGCAGGACCACTGGGGGAGGCACCCAGCAGGACTACTAGAGGAGGCACCCAGCAGGACAACTAGAGGGAGGCACAGAGGGACCACTGGAGGGAGGCACCCAGCAGGACCACTGGGGAGGCACCCAGCAGGACCACTAGAGGGAGGCACCCAGCAGGACCACTGGGGGAGGCACCTAACAGGACCACTAGGGGGAGGCACCTAACAGGACTACTGGAGGAGGCACAGCAGGACCACTGGGGAGGCACCTAACAGGACCACTAGAGGCGCAGCAGGACCACTGGGGGGCACTAACAGGACCACTGGGGAGGCACCCAGCAGGACCACTAGGGGAGGCACCCAGCAGGACCACTGGAGGGAGGCACCCAGCAGGACCACTGGGGAGGCACCTAACAGGACCACTAGAGGAGGCACCCAGCAGGACCACTGGGGGAGGCACCCAGGGACCACTGGGGAGGCACAGCAGGACAACTGAGGGAGGCACCCAGCAGGACCACTGGAGGGGCACCTAACAGGACTACTGAGGGAGGCACCTAACAGGACTACTGGAGGAGGCACCCAGCAGGACCACTAGAGGGAGGCACCGAGCAGGACCACTAGAGGCACCCAGCAGGACAACTAGAGGGAGGCACCCAGCAGGACCACTATGGGGGAGGCACCGAGCAGGACCACTAGGGCACCCAGCAGGACCACTAGAGGCGCAACAGGCCACTAGGGGAGGCACCTGGGACCACCATGAGGGAGGCACCTAACAGGACCACTGGGGGAGGCACCCAGCAGGACCACTAGAGGAGGCACCTAGCAGGACCACTAGAGGAGGCACCTAACAGGACCACTAGAGGCACCTAACAGGACTACTAGAGGAGGCACATGGGACCACTGGGGGAGGCACCCAGCAGGACCACTAGAGGAGGCACAGCAGGACCACTGGGGAGGCACGGCCTGAGGCAGCAGGAGGGAGCCCAGCAGGACCACTGGGGGAGCACCCAGGGACCACTAGGGGGAGGCACAGCAGGACCACTAGAGGAGGCACCTAGCAGGACCACTAGAGGGAGGCACCTAACAGGACCACTGAGGGGCCAACTGGGGAGGCACCCAGCAGGACCACTGGGGGAGGCACAGCAGGACCACTAGAGGGAGGCACCGGGACAACTAGGGAGGCACCCAGCAGGACACTCAGAGAGGCACCTAACAGGACCACTAGGGAGGCACCTAACAGGACTACTGAAACCCAGCAGGACCACTAGAGGAGGCACCTAACAGGACCACTAGAGGAGGCACCTAACAGGACCACTAGAGGGAGGCACCCAGCAGGACCAGTAGAGGGAGGCACCTAACAGGACCACTAGAGGGAGGCACCTAACAGGACCACTAGAGGGAGGCACCTAACAGGACCACTGAGGCACCTAACAGGACCCTAGAGGGGGGCACTAACAGGACTACTAGAGGAGGCACCCAGCAGGACCACTAGAGGGGGGCACCTAACAGGACCACTAGAGGCACCTAACAGGACTACTAGAGACACCCAGCAGGACCCTAGGAGGCACCTAACAGGACCACTAGAGGAGGCACCCAGCAGGACCACTAGAGAGGCACCGCAGGACTACTAGAGGAGGCACCCAGCAGGACAACTAGAGGGAGGCACACAGCAGGACCACTAGAGGCACCCAGCAGGACCACTAGAGGAGGCACCCAGCAGGACCACTAGGGAGGCCGGGGCCACTAGAGGGAGGCACCTAACAGGACCACTAGAGGGAGCGGGGACACTGAGGAGGCACCTGGGACCACTGGAGGGAGGCACCCTAACAGGACCACTAGAGGAGGCACAGCAGGACCACTAGAGGGAGGCACCCTAACAGGACCACTAGAGGCACCCAGCAGGACCACTAGAGGGAGGCACCTAGCAGGACCACTAGAGGGCACCCAGGGACCACTGGGGGAGGCACTAACAGGACCACTGGGAGCGCAGGACCACTGGGGGAGGCGCAGCAGGACCACTAGAGGGAGGCACCCAGCAGGACAACTGGGAGGCACCCAGCAGGACCACTGGAGGAGGCACCCTGCAGGGACTACTGGGGAGGCACAACAGGACTACTGGAGGGAGGCACAGCAGGACACTGGAGGAGCGGCAGGACCACTGGGGGCACCCAGCAGGACAACTGGGGAGGCACCCAGCAGGACCACTGGGGGAGGCGCAGCAGGACCACTGGGGGAGGCACCGAGCAGGACCCTGGAGGCACCCAGCAGGACCACTGGAGGGGGAGGCACCCAACAGGACCACTAGGGGAGGCACCTAGCAGGACCACTGGGGGAGGCACTAACAGGACCACTGGGGGAGGCAGCAGGACCACTGAGGGAGGCACCTAGCAGGACCACAGAGGGCACCTGCCGGGACCACTAGAGGAGGCACCTAACAGGACTACTAGAGGAGGCACACAGCAGGACCACTGGGAGGCACCCAGCAGGACCACTAGAGGAGCACCAGCAGGACCACTAGAGGCACTAACAGGACCACTAGAGGAGGCACCCAGCAGGACCACTGTGGAGGAGCGGGGGACCTAGAGGCACAGCAGGACCACTAGGAGGGGCACCTGGACCAGCCACTGGGGAGGCACCTAGCAGGACCACTAGAGGGGGGCACCTAACAGGACCACTAGAGGCCTGTGGGACCACTGGGGGAGGCACAGCAGGACCTGGGGAGGCCAGCAGGACCACTGGAGAGCGCAGCAGGACCACTGGGGGAGGCACCGCAGGACCACTAGAGGGGCGCAGCAGGACCACTAAGAGGACCACTGGGGGAGGCACCCAGCAGGACCACTGGGGGAGGCACCTAACAGGACCCAGCACTGGGGGAGGCACCCAGGCAGGACCACTGGGGGGCCTTGGGACCATGGGGAGGCACCCTGGACACTAGAGGGGCACCTGGCAGGACCACTGGGGGGAGGCACCTAGCAGGACCACTGGGGGGAGGCACTGGGACCACTGGGGAGGCACCCAGCAGGACCACTGGAGGCACCTAACAGGACCACTAGAGGGAGGCGCAGCAGGACCACTAGAGGGAGGCACCAACAGGACCACTAGAGGAGGCACCCAGCAGGACAGCTAGAGGAGGCACCTAGCAGGACCACTAGAGGAGGCACCCAGCAGGACACTAGACTGGCCACTGGGGAGGCACGCAGGACCACTGGGGAGGCACCCTAACAGGACCACTGGGGGAGGCACCCAGCAGGACAACTGGGGAGGGCACCTAACAGGACCACTAGAGGGAGCCCGGGACCACTGGGGGAGGCACCTAACGGAAGGGGGCACCTAACAGGACCACTGGGGGGGCGCTAACAGGACCACTGGGGGCACCCTAACAGGACCACTGGGGAGGCACCCAGCAGGACAACAGGGGGAGGCACCTAACAGGACCAATGAGGAGGCACCTAGCAGGACCACTGAGGGAGGCACCTAACAGGACCACTAGGGGAGGCACCCAGCAGGACAACTAGAGGGAGGCACCCTAACAGGACCACTAGAGGCACCTAACAGGACCACTGGGAGGCACCTAGCAGGACCACTGGGGGAGGCACCTAACAGGACCACTAGAGGGAGGCACCTAGCAGGACCACTGAGGAGGCACCCAACAGGACCACTAGAGGGAGGCACCTAGCAGGACCTGGGGGAGGCACTAACAGGACCACTGGGGAGGCACAGCAGGACCACTAGAGAGGAGGCACCCAGCAGGACAACTAGAGGAGGCACCTAACAGGACCACTAGAGGGAGGCACCTGCAGGGACCATAGAGGGAGGCACCTAACAGGACCACTGGGAGCACCTAGCAGGACTACTAGAGGAGGCACCCGCAGGACCACTGGGGAGGCACAGCAGGACTACTGGAGGGAGGCACCAGCAGGACTACTGGGGGAGCAGCAGGACAACTAGGGGGAGGCACCTTGGGACCAATGAGGGAGGCACTAACAGGACCACTGGGGGCACTAACAGGACCACTGGGGAGGCACCTGTGGGACCACTGGGGGCACCTAACAGGACTACTGGGGGAGGCACCTGGCAGGACCACTAGGGGAGGCACCTAACAGGACCACTGGGGGAGGCACCCTAGGGACCACTGGGGGAGGCACAGCAGGACAACTAGAGGGAGGCACCTAACAGGACCACTAGAGGAGGCACCTAACAGGACCACTAGAGGAGGCACCTAACAGGACCACTAGAGGGAGGCACCCAGCAGGACCACTGAGAGGAGGCACTAACAGGACACTAGAGGGAGGCACACAGCAGGACCATACACTGGGGAGGCACCTAACAGGACCACTGAGGGAGGCACCTAACAGGACCACTAGAGGAGGCACCCAGCAGGACCTACTAGGGAGGCACCTAACAGGACCACTAGAGGGAGGCACCTAACAGGACCACTAGGGGAGGCACCTAACAGGACCACTGAGGGAGGCACCCAGCAGGACCACTGGGGAGGCACAGCAGGACCACTAGAGGGGGAGGCACCCAGCAGGACCACTAGAGGAGGCACCTAACAGGACCACTAGAGGGAGGCACCTAGCAGGATCACTGAGGGGGAGGCACCCAGCAGGACTACTAGAGGCACACAGGGGACCACTAGAGGGGGGCACCTAACAGGACCACTAGAGGAGGCACCTAACAGGACCACTAGAGGAGGCACCCAGCAGGACTACTGGGGGAGGCACCCAGCAGGACCACTAGAGGAGGCACCCAGCAGGACCACTAGAGGGAGGCACCTAACAGGACCACTAGAGGGAGGCACCTAGCAGGACCACTAGAGGCACCCAGCAGGACTACTAGAGGGAGGCACACAGCAGGACCACTAGAGGGAGGCACCTAACAGGACCACTGGGGGAGGCACCTGGGACCACTAGAGGAGGCACCCAGCAGGACTGACCACTTGGGGAGGCACCTAACAGGACCACTAGAGGAGGCACCCAGCAGGACTACTAGAGGAGGCACACAGCAGGACCACTGGGGAGGCACCTAACAGGACCACTAGAGGAGGCACCCAGCAGGACCCACTAGAGGGAGGCACCCAGCAGGACCACTAGAGGCGCAGCAGGACAACTGGGGGAGGCACCAAGCAGGACCACTGGGGAGGCACCTAACAGGACTACTAGGGGAGGCACACAGCAGGACCACTAGGGCACCGAGCAGGAACTAGAGGCACCCAGCAGGACCACTGGGGAGGCACCAACAGGACCACTGGGGAGGCACCCAGCAGGACCACTGGGGAGGCACCCAACACGACCACTAGAGGGAGGCACCCAGCAGGACCACTAGAGGCACCCAGCAGGACCACTGAGGGAGGCACCCAGGGACCACTAGAGGAGGCACCTAGAGACCACTAGAGGGGGAGGCACTAGGGCACACAGCAGGACCACTGGGGAGGAGGCACCCAGCAGGACCACTGGGGGAGGCACCCAGGGACCACTGGGGAGGCACCCAGCAGGACCACTAGAGGGAGGCACCCAGCAGGACCACTAGAGGGGCACCCAGCAGGGACCACTAGGGAGGCACCTAACAGGACCACTGGGAGGCACTAAGGACCCAGGGAGGCAGGGACACAGGACCACTAGAGGGAGGCACCCAGCAGGACCACTAGAGGGAGGCACCCAGCAGGACCACTAGAGGGAGGCACACCAGCAGGACCACTAGAGGCACTACAGAGGCAGAGGCACCACCCAGCAGGACCACTAGAGGCACCCAGTATCAGATCAAGGTTCCACCGTCATGTCTTGAGCTTGTCAACCACGGCTCAGCTCCCCAAACATTTTCGGGATATCTTTACCAGTTCTCCGAGGTTATGTGACCCTCCAGAGACCACAACTTTTAATATAGTTTTTCCTTTACCACTCTCGCCCTTCCCCTTGCCCTTCTACTCTCAATTTTACCCATTATGTCTCCAAATTTTCCCTCATTCCTAATTATTTAACCAAAGTATCTGATTTCTCTTCTAATCTGTAAATATCTGTCCTTTTGTTTTTCATTTTCGTTCATCTTCAGCCTTCTGCAGCACTACACTACAAAGGCCCCGTCTGGTATATCTCTCTTGTGACTCTCTGACCATGCAGACTCCGTATTCCAGCAGACTTTATCTCAAACTGTTTTTTTGCTTCACTTATTCTCGTATTAACTTCTCTTTCACATCTACCATCACGGAGTCTGTAAGATCCCTCCGTTACACATCATAATCCTTGGGTCTTATATTTAATCTCGGTACAACCATTACTTCCCTCCGTTTGATATTAAGTCTTAAGCCAATATTCTTAACCTGTTTCCATTGACTTTTAAAACCTCCGTCTCAAAGGATAATTTCTCTCATTGAAACTCTTGGGTAAATATGAAACGCTGGAGACGAGATGCAGCCTTATCTAATCTAATGCTTTTAAGTTGTTTTTATATTAACATGGCAACATCCTGATGGCTTTTAAAACCACTACTACTACCACCACTACCATTTCTACCAACATTAACACCACCATCACCACCACCACCTACACCACCTACACCAGTATCATCACCAACACCACCATCATCACAACCACCACCTACACCAACACCACCATCACCAACACCACCATCATCACCACCACCACCTACACCAACACCACCACCACCTACACCAGTATCATCACCAACACCACCATCATCACCACCACCACCTACACCAGTATCATCACCATTACTATGACTTCCCTCCCACATTTATCACTTTACCACCACTATGACTACCACCAACCACCACCCACACCACTACCATCCACTCTACCACACTACCACACACCTAAAGATTTGATACCCCAGCTTATTTCACCAGAACATTGGACAACCCAGCAAATTTCACCTCAAGATTAGATACCTCAGCTTTTTTCACCAGAAGATTAAACTCTCCAGCTTATTTCACCTAAAGATTTGATACCCCAGCTTATTTCACCAAAAGATTTGATACCCCAGCTTATTTCACCAAAAGATTTGATACCCCAGCTTATTTCACCTAAAGATTTGATACCCCAGCTTATTTTACCTAAAGATTAGACACCCCAGCTTATTTTACCTAAAGATTAGACACCTCAGCTTATTTCACCTGAACATTAACTCACCTAACGCTACTTGGAGGTTACATTAGGGTAGGTTAGCGTTAGTGGTTGATCTACAGGGGAAATAAGCTGTGTGTGTATGAGAGAGAGAGAGAGGTGTCAGCAGGGAGGGGTGGTGTCAGCAGGGAGGGGTGGTGTCAGCAGGGAGGGGTGGTGTCAGCAGGGAGGTGTGGTGTCAGCAGGGAGGGGTGGTGTCAGCAGGGATGGGTGGTGTCATGGTTGGTGTCAACAGCAGCAGGGGTGTGGTGTCAACAAGGGTGTGGTGTCAGCAGGGAGTGTGGTGTCAGCAGAGGTGGGGTGTGGCAAGGTGGTGTCAGCAAGGAGGGAGGTGTCAGCAGGGGGTGTGGGGTGTCAGCAGGGGTGTTGTGTCAGTGGGTGGTGTCAGCAGGGTGGTGTCAGCAGGGAGGGAATTGGTGTCAGTGGTGTCAGCAGGGAGAATTGGTGTCAGCAGGGGGGTGTGGTGTCAGCAGGGGGTGTGGTGTGTCAGCAGGGGTGGTGTCAGCAGGGGGTGGTGTCAGCAGGGAGGGTGGTGTCAGCAGGGGGTGGTGTCAGCGGGGTGGTGTCAGCAGGGTATGGTGTCAGCAGGGGGTGTCAGCAGGGAGGAAGGTGTCAGCAGGGAGGAGACGTGTCAGTAGGGAGGTGGTGTCAGCAGGGGTGTGGTGTGTCAGCAGGGAGGGTGGTGTCAGCAGGGAGGTGTGTGTGTGGAGGCTTCAGGGAGGCGGTCCAGCACGTTACCTTAAGAACAACAAAATACTGGAATGATTGTTTGCC